GATGATGACCCATCTGTGTCTTTGCCCCTCCATGACTAATGGGGTCCACTGCCTAGCAAATATCATAAAAAGTCCTGACTGGCATTTCAGGTCCTCCACTATCCCAGCTCCAAACTACCCTCCTTCACATATTCTGTCTTTCAGCTAAATTGGACTCTTCTCCAAGCCCCTTTCCTTATCGTACTTTCCCTACTGACGCCCATCCCCATGCCTGGTAGTCTCCCTGAAGCATGAAGACCTAATTTAGGTACCACCTTCTCTTCATGATACAATATAACCCCGACTGTTCCTGGGCAAAAGCAATCATTTCCTCTTTACATTTCTCCTAATGCTTGGCCTGGCTCTCTCCTTTTCACTTATCTCAGTAGCTCCTCCATTACACTTACTTGTGTACTTGTCTTCTCCCTATTTGCTGGCAGAAGTAGGACTAGTGTCACACCTATGGTCATATCTCCAGAACCCAGCACTAGGCCCTGCACACAGCAAGCACTTAAATATCTGTTGAGTTTGTTGCATGAGTCACAGGGTTTTCAACTTAGTAGTTACTAAACTGAAGCCAGATATTCCCATAAACAAAACAGTATAAAACTGTTCCAGAATGGTTTTTCACATAATACAGATACTCGAATATAATTTTTCAATCTTTGTGTAACATAACGATCCTGTCCTATCACTAATTAATATAAGGCACTTCTTGTAAGATTAGATGTGACTCTGATTCAGTCACTTCATGTCTGAGTCACAGGCTCCTGTATATGATACTACTAACCTCACAAGACTCCAACGTACATAAAGCTGTTTATAAACTAAAAAACTGTGGTACTGGAGAAAACTTTTGAGAGTCCTTTAGACAGCAAGAAGGTCAAATCAGTCGATACTTAAGGAAATTAATTCAAGTTATTCACTGGAAGGTCAAATAAATACTGAAGCTAAAGCTTAAATACTTGGCCACATAATGAGAAGATGGGACTCACTGGAAAAGACCCTAGTGCTGGGAAAGATTGAAGGCAAAAAGAAACGGGGAAAGCAGAGGATGATGAGATGGATAGACAGTATCATGGATACAACAAAGATGAACTTGGGCAGATTCAAGAGATAGTAGAGGATAGGAGGGTCTGTCGTGTTTGGTCCATGAGATCACAAAGAGTCAGACATGACCACAGAGTCACCTACTGGTCAGCTTCTATTATTCATTAAATCCGTGGTTAGAAAGGCCCTCCTCAGAGTCTCCTCACTCATCTATACAATACCACCACTAGTCAAACAGTTGAAGCCTTCAAAACTTGTGACCAAAGAAGAATGGCTGTAACCTAAGAAACGGCGAAAGTGATGATTTCAAGGAATCCTGGGAAAACATGTATGAACTGATACAGAGTGAAGTGAGCAGATTTGGGAGAACCATTTATACAATGACCAGAACACAGTAAACACAAACAACTCCAAAAGATTTCAGAACACTAATCAACACAATGCTCAACCAGGATTCCAGATCAGCCATGATGAAACCTGCTACTCACCTGACAGAGAAGAGATATGCTCATGGTCAAAACAAGACATGCATATTTTTCAACAGTGCCAATGAGAGGATTTGTTTCACTCAACTATGCAACACAAGGGTTTTGCCTTTTTTTTTTTTCAATGACAGGAGAAAGCAATTTTTTGCTCATTAAATAACTTTTTTTTAATACCTGAACTCTAGACTTGTGTATGTCTAACTGTTAAGCTACAGGAACGTATCATCACTAATGATTCTAACACTGAAATAAGATACTATCAATCAATCAGCAAGTGTTTATGAAGCTCCTTCAGTAAGCCAGGCCCTGTGCTAGGCACCAGCAGCCCTACAAAGAATGAAATAATCCCTACTCACATGGAGCTTACACTCTGATAATAAAAAGTAGACATGTATGATGCACTTTTCAATTCAAAGTTCAATGAACCTTGCAAAGAAAACTTTCTTGTGTCCCCTGCTCAAGGCCAATGACCACAGCAACTGCAGAAGTCAAGAACGCCTGCCTATTCAAGTGTCTCATGGCAGAACCCTCCAAGAAGGGCATGGCACAATGGACAGACTGCTGGATTTGGAGGGGACAAGGTCAACTCCTGCCTCTGATACTTGCTAGCAGTGTGACTAGGGGCAAGGCACTTCACTACTCACAGCCTCCGTCTGATGCCCAGTCCAGCTCTACATTTATAGTCTTAGAAAATCAAGGAGGGAATGCCAACTTTGCTGGCATTAAGAGAGGCTCTGTGTCCAGAACAACCAAAGTGGCTGTCCTGCTATTTTCAGCTCTGGTCAAACTACACAGGAAGTACTGTGTCGAGTTCTGAGTGCAAGGTGGCTGTTGACAAGCTGGGGTAGATGAAGGCCCAAACTTGCAAACAGGAAGATCTGAGTTTAAATTCTGCCTCTGAAACTTACTAGCTGTGTGACCATGGGCAAATCATTTCACTTCTTGACACCTGTTTCCTCTTCTGAAGGATTTGGATGAATTGGATAAGATTGCTAAATTCCTTCAAGTTCCAAATGGTATGTATGGTAGTATGGTAGCTGGAACACACTAACGGCTTTATCCATACTCTCTCTAAATCAGAGAATCCTACCCATTTGTAGTCATGGACCCTTTTGAAAGTTGAGCAAAGCCTATGGACCCCTTCTCAGAATTATTATTTTTTTAAATTTATAACTAATTGTTGTTGTTCAGTTGTTTCAGTCATGTACAACTCTTCATGATCCTATTTGGGGTTTTCTTGGCAAAGATACTGGAGTTGTTTGCTATTTCCTTCTCCAACTCATTTTACAGACGAGGAAACTGAGGGAAATAGGAATAGGTGACTTGCCCAGGGTCACACAGCTAATAAGTGTCTGGGGCCATATTTGAACTTAGGTCTTCCTAACTCCAGGCCCAGTGCTCTATCCATTGTGCCACCCAGCTACCCATAATTTACAATTAAAGGAAATGCTAAATTTTCAATTAGCGGTTAGTGAAAACAAAGAAACCATTTTTGTTCCCACCCAAGTTCACTGTCCCCCTCAAATCTATCCACGGATCCTTGGAGAAATCCAGGTTAAGAAATCCAATCTACACTGATGCTCTTATGATCTACCACCTCCCATGGGAATCAGTGGATTTGGACTGGAAATCTGGAAGGCAAATGGAGGAGACAGATGGATCTGGGAAACAGCAAAAGGGGCATCAGGGTCAGTGATCATAGCCCTGGAATTGCCTCCCTCTCCCTCATCCAGCTGCTGAGAACAATACCTGGGATATGTACTAAAGAAAGGTAGGGGGTGGAGAGAAGTAAGTAGCAGAGACCTGTTGGAGTGACTATCTCTACATACTATATCTATACATTATACATACACACAGTCATAGATATATATCCTTATACATACAATACTCTCAAACATATACTCACACATCTACACACTCACATGCTCACATATATATGCGCACACTCATCTATAAGTATGTGTGCATGCACATGTGTATGTACATGTGTACAGAAGTGTGCCTGCATACCTCTATTCACACTCAAATATTCTCACACACTGTTCTATATACCTATACCAAATACACTCAAATATATTCAGTCTCATACATATACCTCTTTCATGAATACATATACACACACACTCAAAACACATACACCCAGACACACATTTAAACATACATACTCACACATATGTACATATGTACACTCATAAATCCACATACTTTCATGGCAGCTAGGGGGCTCAGTGGGCCCATTGGGCTTAGCATCAGGAAGACCTAAATTAAAATCCTACCTGAGATACTTAACAGCTGTGTGACCCTGGGCAAGTCACTTAATATCTGAATGCCTCAGTTTCCTTACCTATAAAATGAGGATGATAATAGCCCCTACCTACATAAGATGAAAAAATCTGTGAAGTGCTTAGAATAGTGCCTCGCACATAGTATGTACTTCATACATGCTTGTTTCTTTCCTATAGGCACACATACGTTCATAATACACCTAACATAATCATTCATGTCCACTCACACATATACTCACATATGCGTACACACATACTTATACAAACATGCACAACCCCCACTCTTAATGCATAATAATGCAAATACTCTCACATATACACACAAATATACATTCATACATAAACTTACACAAATACACTCTCAATCATATACACTTATATATCACCATCAAGTACATGCACATTCCTGCTCATACACACACATATTTGTACATACACAAATATACCCTCAGAAATACATCCCTTCATACATACGCACAAACACACATACATGCACACAAACATACATATACGCACTTATCCACACATACTGGTGCACACATCTTCTCCTACAAACATACCTCATACACATACACTACCAGACACATACACACACATACCCCCAAATACTCCTGCATATGCTCATATATATAACATATGTACACTCATACATACACATCCTCGTGCATATATACCCTCAAACACATACTCATACACACATACTCGTGCACACACCTGCTCACACACACAAACACCCTCACACACTCCTGCACATGCTCATATACCTATAACATATACGTACACTCGTACATACACATCCGCGTATATATATATATATATATATATATATATATACCCTCAAACACAGGGCATGTACACTCTCAATACAAACTCACACTCATACACATACAGCCTCGCACGGTCACACACGAGGGCCCTGTCAGGGTCCCCTCCGCCCCCGCCCCGCCCCCTCCCCGGGCCACGGACCGGCGGCGCGCGTGCGCAGAGCGCCCCGCTTCCTCCCCCTTCTCCCGGACGCCCGGTGTATCCACACTACCCCGGGGTGGCCGGAGGGCAGAAGAAGGAGCGGGGGATCCTCTCAACGCCCCTCTTCCCCCCCCTTCCCTCCCCCCTCCCCTCCTCCTCTGCGCGGCCCGCCAGGCCTCGGCGCCCAGCTGCCCTCAGGCCTCCTCTGCTGGCCGGGCCCGGACACGGGGCTCACCTGGCTCTGGGGCCCAGGGCCGCCACCTGGGCCGAGAGTGCGGCCCCTTGGAGCCGGAGCCGGAGCCGGAGCCGCAGCGTGGACGCGCCTCCTCCTACGCCGCCGTCGTCGCGGCCTCGAGCCCACCTCAGTTCAAGCTCAGCGCCTTCCGGGGCCGTCGCCAGGCGGAGGCAGCCGAGATGCCGAGCACATCGATGCAGGCGGGCGGGCGGCGAGGCGGAGTGCCGATGGCGCGGATCGACCCGCCGGGCCCTCCTCCTGTTCCCCCGCCCCTCCCGGCTCCGGGAGAGCCCGAAGTTAGACCGCTGAGCTTGCTGGGTGCGGCTCGCGGGTGGGCTGGGTCTTTCTTAATAAAGGTCTGCTGTGGCTGGGGTCCAGGTCCCTATCCAAAATGAACAGGCCTTGGGGGAATGGTGTCGGGGTCGTCTCTCGGAAACCGCACCCCCAGGATTTGGGGGCAGCGGGGAGAAGCTCCCCCCACCCCATGACCCGCCCTGGTCGGCGCCCCGCTGCTTGATTACGTGAGGGTGTTTGCAGAGGGGCCTCTGAGACCTCTCTCCCGAACAAGCAGGTGTCCAAGCTTTCTCGATTTGGGGGCGGGGGTCCTCTGGGATGATGGGGGGTGGACGAGGGTGCCGATGGGAGGATTCCCAGAGCTAGAAAGATGCTTGGAGATTTTATATGTGTGTGGATTCCCCCACCACCACCACTTTTACGCCAAAAACAATTAAAGCAGACTGGGCATTTTCTGAACATGATATTGCACTGGTTCTTTCCCACCCCTACCTTCATCATCACCCCGAGTCTTGCTTGGAAGTTCATTTTATTCCCCCCCTCCTTTTTTTTTTTTAATGGTTCTGCGGAAAGTGAAGCTTTCAGATTCTAGAGCGAAAGGATCTCGAAGGTTAGATCTGGGCGGTTTGGCTACTAACGAATTGTCCCATACCTGAGCTACAGTTACTCTCGGACATTTGAGGCAGTATCCGGTTTTCTTAGCCAACGAGTCCAGCAAAGTGAATGTTCCACTTCTGCCCCCTCCTCCCCTTCTCGCCTCCCCCCCCATAAGTGGCATTTGTTATTAAACGACTTGTTTGACACTTATTTAAAGTACTTCCTGGAGTAGAAGGGAACCTTTGAAATGCTGTAAATCTGCAAACTTGTGCTTTAATTTAAAAAAAAAAACACTTTAAAACTCACTTTGGGAAAGTCCTGCACCACCTTACCTTCCCAGGCGGCGAGGGGTGGGGTGAGAGGGGTGGGGGAAAGAGAGTATGTATTGGAACTTCAAGGAAGCAGCATTATTAGAATTATGCAAAGTTAAGTGTTTGCAGAGCAATCTAAAATTTTAAGTTGTTCAAATAAGCTGTAGCTCAAGGGACTCTGTGGTGCAGACACTGCGGATCCGGGATACTTCCTATTAGTACCAACAGCCGCCACACTCCAGCATCTTACAGGCTTTAATTTAGCAGAGTGAAGGACAAAGTTATTTGTTTTGCATCCTCTTGTGAATAACCGAGCCTTTTGTTTGTTCCATCATTTACTTAATAAAAATAAAAAAGAGCATGAAGAAGCTAGATTAGCTGACTGTTGTCTTGTCCCACCCAAGTCTTACTAGCCCTGCCAGTGACAACGGATACTGCTGGGGCGTCTTGACTATTTAAATGGCGGCCACATTTGGATAGTTCAGAGCTTCACATTTATTTAATTGGCTGCATTCTTGATCTTTCTCATAAGGTATCTTAAAATTGAATAAAAGACGCCAGAGTTATAAGTCCGTTGTTCTCTAAGTGCTGAAATACATTAGGAATAAAAACGTTCACCTGGCAGTTTGCGACCTAATTTTTAAACCCCACTTATAATACAAACCTCAGTAAATTTTGGTGTGCAATGGGGTTGTTTATTAAATTTTAACATAAACAAATGTTTCATATAATTTATTAAGAAAAGTTATATCCATGGAAAGCTAGGAAGAGCAGACCCACTTCTAATCTAAAAACAATGATAAAATACATTTCGAAAATGGAAAGTTGTTTTTGCTAGAGATCAGATTATAGAAGTTATGTCATTTGTGGAATCTGTTAAAACTATCCCCAGAGTGGGATGTAATCAAACCCTTGGAGGTTCTAATATCCTGTTCAGAAATATGATATATTTAATCTGCAAAAGGAAGGCAGAAAGTAGTATCAAAAACAAGCAGCGACTCCCTCTTACCTCAGGTCACCCGAGTAGGATTTTGATGTGAGGAATGTATCTAGAAACGACCGTGGTTCCTCTTCCGAATTGCTTTTCTTTTTGGCACATTTGTGTCGTTGCTCTTGGAGGAACTTTTCTAGTTCTTATCTAGCTGAATTTTCAGGCGACGTGGTGGTTCAGTGCTTTGATGTCTCTGTCCTGTCTTGTAGGAGGCTTCACATTGAACCAGCCGATTTGAATTGGCATCAGGAACAGTTATTTTTAATAATGAAACTCAGGGACCATTATATATGTACAGTCTCCTTGAAAATTTACAAACCAGATGTGCTTGGAAGTACATATATGTGTGTGTGTGACTATACACCCATATAAAGATACATTTCTAGAGAGGTGTCCTTGTGTGCCTGTATTTACTTATATGTGTACACACATATTCAGTATATAAATGGGTAGAATACTGTGCTCCTTTTGGGTGAACCGTTTATGTAAACATTAGAGGTGTAGTGTAAAGAACTTGCACACTTCCCCCTACCCCAAAGAAAACAATTTCCTAACTTATTCTTCCTGTAAAATGTTTTTCCCCAATTTCTGTAAACTGTGGGATAAATCAAAGTGAGACACTAAACTCTTGGTAAAGATTTAAACAACAGAGAGAGAGAGAGAGAGAGAGAGAGAGAGAGAGAGAGAGAGAGAGAGAGAGAGAGAGAGAGACAGACAGACAGACAGACAGAGAGACAGAGACAGAGACAGAGTCAGTCTCTTGGTTGTTCAAAACTGGAAACACAAATAAAATGTAACCAAAATGCTAAATAAGATGAAAAAGTGCACTTTTTTTAAAAATAGGGTTTGAGTGCTGTTGTTTTTGTTATTTCAATGGAGAGATGGTGTGTGGAGAATACTACAATGTCAAAGCTGAAAGGAACGTCAGAGATCATCTTCTCCGACTCCTTCATTTTGCAGATTAAGAAACTGAGGCCCAAGAGTTGGGAAATAAGTTTTTAAATGTATCAGGTATATTTCGTATACCAGGAAAAAAAGAAAAAAGAAAAACCGTTTTTCTTTAGCCAAAGTCCCTAAAGCAAACCGAGACGTGACAACATTTGGAAGAATTCCTCTGCACAGAGGCCAGGAGGAGAGTGGAATGGGGAAAAGGACACTGCACCTGGGCTCAAATGCCCTCGTCAGTAAGCATTTGTTCAAGAAATTGGGCAAATCAGCTTTTCCCAAATACAACTCAATGCATTAGTAAAGGTCTTGCAAAACAAACAAACAAAACCAGGATTGGTGGCAGTTGACCCGCCCAAAACAGCAGCGGCGTCTAGGCTAGCCCATTCCGCCTCTTGTCTTCTTCCTTTCCTTGGGTAGCTGCCGGGTCACCTGCGAAGCTTGGCAGCAGCTCACGCTCTCTGCAAGCCGGGTAAGGAAGACACGCTGAGGTAGAGCTAGCTGCTCTAGCTCTCTCTCCCCAAGCACCACTGTCAGTTCCACTTTGGCCCCTCCCCTGCAGATCCTGCCTGTCTCCCCTGTGTTTAACTAAGTCGGGATACTAGCGCAAGATCCACGCCTAATTAAATTAATTAGGGATTCTTGTCAATCCTGGATTAATGGCCGATAGCAACCCCGGCCACAATGATCTGAAAACCTGGAGGACCAGTGATCTTTTTTTTCTCTCCACACCCCCACTCCCTCATTTCCCCCTCCCTTTTCCCTCCTCCTCCTATCCCTTACTCCCTCCCTCCTCCTCCTCCTCCCCTTCTCTCTCTCTCTCTCTCTCTCTCTCTCTCTCTCTCTCTCTCTCTCTCTCTCTCTCTCTCTCTCTCTCTCTCTCTCTCTCTCTTTCTCTCTCTCTCTTTCTCGCTTTCCCTCTCTCCTTGGTAGTGAGTGCCTCGCTTGATACAGGAGAAGGGACTTTATTCAGAATTGCAAGAGGAGATAATTTGCTCAGAACAAGGGGCCGGCTTTGCAAAGTATAAATAGTGCGACTTCACCATCAGATCCGAACTCTTAGCAGGAAGAATTGTCAAAGATCTTAACATTTAACAAGATCTCTCCAGTTGGGAAACATCAGCTTCCATTTGACTCCAGCCTGCCCTCAACCCTCCTCTTCTCCCCTTCCTCCTCCTCCTCCTTCTCCTCCTCCTCCTCCTCCACCACCACCACCACTACTGCCACAACCACCTCCTCCCCCCTTCTTTCCCCTCCAACCCCCCCGTCCCCATTGATGTGTTATTATTGGGGGGTTTGGAACAGTAAAAAGAAGAAGAAGAAAAAAGAGAAAGAGGAAGGCGATCGGAGGAAGGAGAGAGAGAGAGTGCAGCAACCGTGCCAGACCATGGAAGAACTTACAGCGTTTGTCTCCAAGTCTTTTGATCAGAAAGTGAAGGAGAAGAAGGAGGTGATCACATACAGAGAGGTCCTGGAGAGCGGACCCGTTCGGAGCAGCAAGGAGCCGGGAGGTGGCAGCGAATCGAGCCGGGAGGACGGCTGCAGCCCCGCAGTGAGAGCTGCAGGAGGAGGCGGCGGCGGCGGAGTAGGAGGAGGTGGTGGAGGAGGAGGAGGAGGAGGAGGAGGTGGAGGAGGAGGTGGAGGAGGAGGAGGTGGAGGAGGAGGAGGAGGAGGGCGGTCTCCCGTTCGGGAACTGGACATGGGCGCCGCTGAGAGAACCAGAGACTCGGGCAGTCCCAAACTCACAGAGGGTAACGGCCAGACCCGAAACACCGCGCTTTCCCCCTCCCCCATCCCCCTCAACTCTGGCGGGGAAAGGACCCAAGTATCCGGGAAGACTGGGGGTTGGGAGTTGGGGTGGAAAGCCCAGGAAATGCGGCCACCCAGTTTTAAAAGTCAGCTGGGGGGGTGAGATGAGAGGAAGAGTGTCGTTTGATTGTGTGTGTGTGTGTGTTTATATGTGTGTGTGCATTTTGCGCTTCAGACATTGTTGTTATATTTATTCCACTAAAGTGCGTTTTACTAGCTAAAGTATCTTGTGCTTAGTGTGGGCAGAAGCTCATACAGAGGGAGAAAAAGTTCTAAGTGCAGAAGGCATCCTTTTTAGGCTGCCAGCAGACTTTCGGTCGATCGCTTCTTACCCGCTTGAAGCTGATCCTCTTTGGACGTGGTCTGAGAGGAAGGCTTCCTTTTTTAAGCTCATGCACTTTCCTATTATAGAAAGATTTTATTTTCTCCCTCTCCGCTTTTTCTTCTTCTCCCATTCCATTCTTCTCTCCACGAACTAGTATAGCAGTCTAGGGACTGCTGCTGCTTTCTTAATTGCCCTAACGTCTATTTATCCACTGAGTAAAGAATTCAGTAGTATCTTTTACAGCCAGCGTTTATAGAAACACGGCCCAACTGGATTTCGCAAGGCTATACATTTTCGAATAGGCCAATGGGCTTTTGCGTTCTTTGGCGATTGTGTTTTGCTTAAAATTACTTTCCTGGTTCATACTCCGTAATGACTCTGGTCTTGAAAAAATTGATCTTTGGCCCCCAGGAGAGGGTTAGTCCAGGAAAAAAAAAATCAAACGAACCATGGTTTTGTGTCCCTGGCAGAACATCCCCAAACTCAAAGGCTTTCAATAACAAAAAATTAATCCGCGACCTCACGTATACATTAGCTGGTGTGCAGCCATATTTTTCCAATTAGGAAAATATGTGGCAAGCATGGAATCAGCTATTTAAGCAAACAATTACCTTGTTTATAACATGATCTGTTCCTGTTTAGAGACCACTAAGCAGGGAGCCTGGCCTGACACATATATTAAATTAAATATATTAATCGATTTACAATTTGGAAAATCTTTTTTTTTCTCTCTCTCTCTCTCCCTGCAGTCAAAAGTTTGAATGTAGCCATGGTAGTCTGGGTGGCACGAAATGGGTAAAACATTTGTGCCTCTTTGGCGAATTAGGGTGCATATATTTCCCCACTAATATTTTATTGAAACAATTTATGACTGTGCCTTGTAAAAATTGGTCCAGGATGTTTGATACAAATTTTCTCTCTTTCAGAAAGGGCAGACGCCTGTCAGACTACCGATAAGTACTAGATGTCTATTCAATTAGTAATTAGGAGAACAGTGTTAGTGCTGCGACGGATTTGCTTTTCTTAGCCTGGTTGTCCGGATTCATTCAATTTCTGTCTCCACTTTTGGAGGATAATTTGGAGAAGTAATAGTAATTATGGGAACCCGAATTCAAACGGCGAGGCTTGTGTTTGTATGTTCAAAGGACCCTCTGCACTTGAGGTGTATTTGCCTATTTGAGTTGATTTTAAAACCTAGATCCAGCCTTCAGGATCGCTTATGTCAGAGCTCAGGCCAAATAATCCTTTCTCTTGCCTGTCGGAACTCTGTGGAGGGAGCATCTTCAACAGCAGATTTTATTAACAAATGTAGAGAGTGATTCTGGGTTGTGAAGAACTAGGAGAGGGCGGGCCATGCTCGATCCGGACTCGGACTTCTACCGCACAAATGTAATTGACTAGCGCTGGAATAGAGAGCTGGGAGTTCCTGTAGAAAGGGATCCAGCTTTCTGACCTCTGGGGGGGGGGGCTGTAGCTCCTTCACCCGCTGAAGCTAGAGAGGACAATCGCTCGGGTGATTCCATAACCCAAAGTGTCAGTTTGAAAAGAAAAAGAAAGAAAGAAATGGGACGTATCAGCTGGCGTGTGTCAATTCAAGGCAGGGGGGAAAATGCATGTTTTATTAAACAACGAAGCTGTTGAATTTACGAAAAGGCAGAGAACAACCAATAGAAATACAGGATTGTAAATATACCACTTAAACCTGTTGATATGTATGTATACATACATACATACATATATATATTTACACAAAACATTGGTGCATGGTGAGGTTTTTGTTTTTGTTTCTTAAGGAAAGGAGGGGTGAAGTACAAATAACACTTTGCTTTTCCCCCAACCTGCCAAGAGCTTTGTTTTTCCCTTCTCCAAATCTGGCAGTAGCCTGGGATGTGGTACCGCCACCAGGAAAGCAAACATGGCGTGGGCAAGCCCTTGCTACAGGGTCCGGAGCGAGGATGCTGGGCAGAGAAAGCAGGAGTGATCAGAGAGCTCCCGGGTGGGCCTGGGCCCTGAGGATAGGTGATGCTGGCCCACGCTGCCTGAATTGCTGCTGTCCTCCCAGCACCCAGGAAAGCTGCTGCCTACATTTTGACGTGTCAGCCTCTCACTCCCTCCTTCTCTCCATCTCATCCTCCCTCCTCCATAAAACGCCTCACTCACCGCTAGAATTGTTAGCAGATAAGATCAGCAAGTTTACAGAAGTCAGGGACTGAGGGGGTGGCCAAAGAGGATTGTTTTTTCCACAGGTCAAACCCGAGCAAATAACTCCAGAGTCGAGAGCCCAAAGGATCTGATCTGAGAGGGCCAGCGCAACGGTTCGCAGGCGTAGGCATTAATCAATGGCCTAATTCCGCTCAGCAATACCCATCTATCTCCTGATCTTGGTGGGAGACAGAGTAAGGAAGATAGAGAAGAGGGAAAGGAGAGGAGAAAGAAGAGAGGAGAGAGGGAGAGGGAGAGGGAGAGAGAGAGAGAGAGAGAGAGAGAGAGAGAGAGAGAGAGAGAGAGAGAGAGAGAGAGAGAGAGAGAGAGAATGAATGAGAAAGACTCCCTGTCAGAGAACGTGGGGCGCCAGCCCTTGCCCTGAGAGCCCTTGCCACGGGACTTGGAATGGTTGTGTGTGGCAGAGATCTGAGAAATGCCACAGACCATGTTACTGATATATTTCAGGAATCACCTAGCCCTCCTCATCTAGCTGGCCTCCGAGGCCAGCCTGACCTTTGGGCATTTCTGGGAAGATTGTCATGCTTATTTTCCCCTTTGCACGACTCGAACGGTGGCACTATTTGTAGACAGTAATAGGAAGCAGGTGGCCCAACCTTGGCAATTGGGCAAACCTTGTTTTTGTTGTCGCCCTCTCTGTGTGTGTGTGTGCGCGTGTGTGTGCGCGCGTGTGTCCGCATCTGTATTTGTCCTACCTCCCCCCCCCTTCCAGTCTCCCCCGAGCTGAAGGATCGCAAGGAGGATGCAAAAGTGATGGAGGACGAAGGACAAACCAAAATCAAGCAGAGGCGCAGTCGGACCAATTTCACCTTGGAGCAGCTGAACGAGCTGGAGAGACTCTTCGATGAGACTCACTACCCGGACGCCTTCATGCGGGAAGAGCTGAGCCAGAGGCTGGGGCTATCCGAGGCCCGAGTGCAGGTATTTGGGCCGCGGGGAACCGACTGGGCTGGCTGCGCTGGGCAAAGCCAAGCGGTGAGTGGGTGCACGCGCGCACGCGAGTGTGTCTGTGTGTGTCTGTGTGAGCGAGCGCGTGTGCGTGAGTGTGCGCGCGCGCTCCAGCGGACAGAAATTGGGCCGGGAGGGGGGAATTGGATCGATTGCTGGGGGGGCTGGGGGTTGTAGGACTAAAGAGGTAGCTTGTGCGGTATGTATTTCTGTGAGTCTATACACACACAGACGAAGGGTGCGCGGTCCTTTCTTTGCTTGAGTCGGGAGAAAATCTTTATGAGAAAATCTCTCCCTCCACCCCCGGTAGATTATAATTCTGCTGAGTTTTAATATTAATTTTCAAAAACGCATCTTCACAACAAAAATAAAGCTGTTCAGGATTTGCTCTGAGGGTTTCACACCCAGCTTCATGCAGTTTAACTCCTAGTGAACCCTCTTTTATAAGCATTTTAAAAAATAAACAACCGTTTAATCGTTGATGACCTGCGCTACAGCAGCTATTTCGCTCTTGTGAGCTGGGTTTTGTCTAGAATCTGCTCTAGGGTCTGGGTTTGCCAAGCGGATATGCCAATTAAGTTTATAGATGTAAAGACTATAAACTAAATTAGTAACTGTTAAGTGCAGAAATTTACAGTCCGCGGTTAACAGTTGATTTCTAACTGTGAGCATAGCAAAAATGCATTCGAGTCTCGCGGTCTTTGTTCCCTGGCCCCAGATAGCTAGTTTTTCGCGTCCTGCTTGTGCCTGAGGTGAGCAAGTTTTTAAAACGTCTCATCTCCTAATGCTGTTTCCCTTTCCAAAGCCTGGGATATCCGCAATAAAGCCATACCCAGTTGTGCCAAGAATCAGACCTGATTGTCTTCTTTCCATCTCGAGGGTGATTGGAATAGCAGAAGCAAGAGTTAGCTCATCTTCTGTTTTTCGGTTTTTTCCCGTTTTTGTTTTGTTTTTCCTTTTGGGGAACCTTCCAGCTTTCCCAACGAAAATAAATTTAAGTGTATCAGATTGTATTTCCGTTCAAATAATAAAATGGGAGAAAATTATGGTCATTATTTGTTTGAACACATGGAGTAGTTTTAGGCCCCAAACATCTGCAGCTGTTACGAAGTATCGCTGTAACAGATACTCTCCTCAATCTTTGTGCGCAGAGACCACCATCTGCACCAGACTATGCACACAATTCTTATGGGGTTTCCCTGCATCTTGTAATAGGATAAGGACATAAACAGAACAGTCACGTTGGACCAAAAAAGTAATAGTAAGCAGCCTTTGTCATCACAGCCTCCTCATAAGACCCTTCCCCTCTCAGATCTTCAATGCTTTTCTCTTGCCCACTGAGGGCTCTTCCTAAGGCTCAGAAGCTGTCTAAAATAATAATAATAATATAATGAAAAAAATAATAAAATTCTATTCAAAACTCATATGCTTTGGTGCGTGTGGGAGGGGGAGGTACTAGAAGGTACTAGGGGAGGGAGATTTGCCGGGTCCTCTAAAAACACAACTAGAGACAGAATCTTCATTCTCATCATGCTAAATTGTAGAATGATTTTTAAGACTTACATGGATGAAACACTTTCCACTGAAACCAGACCAGGAAAAGTTAGGCAATCGTATTTTGTGTGTTATTTGTATTGATTTGCAAATGAATCTGCTTAAGGCTATTCTTGGAGGCAGAGATGTGAAGCCAGACTGGAACTTTAAAAGATTTATTTGAATTTTTTGTTTGTATTGAAATTAAATTTGCTTCTTTAAATTGGGTTATTTATAAGGAAGACACAATATTCTAGGAGCTGCTCAATACAGCCTTCCTCTCCCACACTGAAATCTGAGATGCCTTCTTCCTTCCCTCCCAGGAAGTAAACTTTATCGTGGCCCCTCACCTCACCATCATTGGGTTTTTTGTTTTGTTTTGTTTTGTTTTCTAAGTTTTAAAGATAGCTTTTGGTTTACAGCTTCCCAGTAACTTGCAATCTTTTTTTTTCTATAGAAGCAAATTAGATTATCAAAATGACAAGACAATTATTCTGATTCTGTGTTACATTTAGTACACAGAAAAGCAGGGAAATTCTCGATTTCTTTGTAGTGAAGCTTTTATGACACTAATTGCACCCTTCCCCCACCCCAAAGTAAGTCATTAAATGCTTTGGTGTTAGTTTTTCTTGAAGATAAAGCTAATTAATATTACAGTCTATTAATGAGCACACTCTTCCCAGGTTTTACTGCTCAAACATCTAAACCCATTATCACAAGTTAGTATCAGGTATCAGGGAGTGATTTAGGTCTTTGGGGACTCTGTAATGTGGAAAGATGAAACCAGAGCCCTCAGTAATTTATCAAGAAACAATTTATCTTCCAAATGTCCATGAAATATATCTTTCTATTTGGAGGAGTTCCTTTTGGGTTTTTAACTTTGGAAAAATGAAACTGTTAAATGGAGACTTTAAAGAAATGTAGAGTCCCCTAGTATCCTTACACATGACTCCAATGTCCTTTGATATATATTTTTTTTTATTTTGAGCTGTAACTTCTATTTCTTTCCACTTCACACTTTCAGGTTTGGTTTCAAAACCGAAGAGCTAAATGTAGAAAACAAGAAAATCAGCTACATAAAGGTACGTTTCTTAAAATATGTTTTGAGTGCCTCCTCCTATAGGATGCCCTTTCTGATATCTTCCCCAGGTCATAAACTTTCTCCATCCTGAAATTACCTTGAATCCTTTTGTACATATCTTATATTTGCTTATTTGTGTATATGATATGTCCCTCAAGTAGACTGTAAACACCATGAGGACAGGAATTGTTTGGTGTTGTATTTTATCTCCCAATGTAAATATTTAGTAACTGTTGAATTGAATTGAATTCTGTAAGAAACCTTGTTAAACATAATATCAGCTTCAGAAGAAGAGCCCTCCAAGATGCTCCTGTTTACTTAATTTATGGATTGCAATCTGCACCTTTGGAGGGAACATCCAGATTGATGAAATCACATATCCATTTGAGTATTTACAGAATATTTGTAAGAGACCTTGGGGGTGCAGTTGTGGAATCTTACATATACATTACAATTTTGAGACAACATTAAAGTACTATGCTAAGAAGGTGACTCTCACCACCCCACATGATTTGAACGGAATTGATTCCACTTTGGTGTTCATCTGTACTGTTAACCAGAGATGCATACATATATGTATATATGAACATGTATATTTAAATACACACATGTGTATTGTACACATACACACATGCACGTTCCATGTATACACACACATACAAATATAACAAATAGTATTTTTTAAATTTAAAAACCTGATGTTTCCTTTATTGTTGCAGGCGTGCTAATAGGAGCAGCAAGCCAGTTTGAAGCTTGTAGAGTTGCACCATATGTCAACGTCGGTGCACTGAGGATGCCATTTCAGCAGGCAAGTACTTAAACTGTTGTGGATAACCCCCACACCCTTCTCCCTGAGATTCCCCCAGCTGTTGACACAGACCTGTTGTATTGATGTTAAGATGATATTATAAAGCCCTACCCTTTAAAAAAGCAATACACTGTCTGGGATCTGCCCAAGCACCTCTTTTTGTCCTCACTAGGAGCTCCACAGAGGACAAGGAGCAGTTAACTATTTCTTTAAAAATGCGCTAAAGATTGCACTTGGGGAGTAGAAAACAAAGCCTTTTGATTAAGAGTGTGTCACTTCCAATGCAGAAGTTAGTGTAAAAGATTTCAAAGGCATCATTCATGTGTTTGTATCTATGTACTCCGGTAGTCTTATTCCTTTAATATTCTCCAAGTTATTCTCCAATTTTAGTCATATTATATGTCTAATCCTAAAAAAAATAAATGAAAGTGTTCCTAATGCAAATTCAAAAGCCCTTTTCTGATGAAGGTTCTTGCCACATTCTCTCCTGGCAGAAGGGAAACCAACTCAGTCTTCCCAGGACTTTCCCAATCCCTATCTTTATCAATAATGAAACCTTCAAGACTACATCTAAAAAAGCAGCTGGCAGCAATGATTTAATCTTGCAAAATCCCTCACCCCCCCCCCTCTTCACTGCTAGCTATTGTACTTTTGAGTCTTCTTTCTGGTTCTCATCCGCCTCTACTTTGTAGAAATCAGGCATCTCTATGTTGTCATATGTGAAACTTACCTCAAGTGCTGGGTTCCATTTAGATATTTGGGTGAGGCTACTTTACCAGCCCCAAATGATTTAGTTGCTAGTGTAAAGATTATTATGATTTGGCCAAGTTTATTGTTCATCTTGAACCTGTCATTTTAGCTTCTAAAGAAGGTGGGGAGAACTTTTTTCTTTCAGTATTGGGGATGTGGGAATGGGGGGGTGTGTAGGTGTGGAATCTTCAAAGAGAAAGCCTAAGAAGCACATTTCATACTCACTCCCATAAGTAGACATAGGTGCAGTTGCAGGCCCAGAAACGTTCATTATATACTAGAAAAAGTTTGGTTTCTTGCCTGTCAGACCTGTAACGCTAGAGTTCAAATCCTTGCTCTATTACTTATAACTGAGAGATCTTGGAGAAGTCTTTTCTGTGATTAAGTCCCTGTTGACTGAAGAAACCTTCTTGCCATCATTTCCATTCATTCTGGCTCTGTGGAGGTGATGGCCACTGAGGTCCAGCTTCTGTTAAATGGCTTCTCAAGTTCCTTTCCAAGTTGGAGATTCTGAGACATTTACTTCTCTGTTTCCTCACTCCCTGGGTTATTGTTAAAGAAGTGTATTTAACTCAAGATGACTTGTGATTTCACTGGTGTGGGAAATTCTTGAAGCTATGCAGACAGGGAACTTGTCTGTAATTTATAGTCTTAAAAAGTAGCTCCAGGACATTAAGTAATTTGCCCTGGATCATCACACAGTCAAGTATGTGTCAGAGGCAGCACTTGAACCCATATCTTACCCACTCCAAGACTGGCTTTCTATAGAATATACAATGCTGCTTTTCTTATCATCATCATGATCACATATGATTGTTATAATTATAATAATTGTTATTTTTATTGTTATTATGTGTACATCGATGGGGTTGGACAAGATGACGAAAATTCGATTGGAGTGAGCAAAATATCTTTCCCATACTTTCCCAAGGCAGTTTCATTGGTTTGCAGAATGAAAGATGCATTGTCAGTGTCTCCTGTGCCCCAGCACAGGACAGTGCACTTGACAGAACAACCAGACAGAAACAGTAGAAGTGGACTGGCAGACACAGGGAGGAAACACACGGACACATAGGTGCAGCTGGGTTATTGAGGCATGAGGTGCGGTACTCAGGTGGGAGACAGCCACAGGAGGATCCAGTGGGACAGATGGGCACCGCCCCCCCTCCCCCCGCCCCCAACACCACATACATTCTCACGATGGCCCAGTGTGACCCAGGCCATATTGACAGTCAAACAGTCAGACTACCTCCCACCCCTCCACCCAGCTCAGCCACCCTTTGTCAGGCCGGACAGACTAGGGGCGCCGCGCGTAGGCCGGGCGGTGTTAATGCTCTGTTTTTATTTTATTCTCGTTGTCACCCTTAGGATAGTCATTGCAACGTGACGCCCTTGTCCTTTCAGGTTCAGGCTCAGCTGCAGCTGGACAGCGCCGTGGCAGCGCACGCGCACCACCACCTCCACCCGCACCTGGCGGCCCACGCCCCTTATATGATGTTCCCCGCGCCGCCCTTTGGCCTCCCGCTGGCCACTCTGGCCGCCGAGTCCGCCTCGGCCGCTTCTGTGGTGGCGGCCGCCGCGGCGGCCAAGACCACCAGCAAGAACTCCAGCATCGCAGACCTCAGACTGAAAGCCAAAAAGCACGCGGCGGCCCTGGGGCTGTGACTTCGCTGCTGCCACCACGTGGTCCTCCTCACCCTCATCCCAGCATTGATTCTCCGGCTACCGCCCACCCTTTCTGTCCTCTAATCCCTTTTGGGCTGCTGGTACCATCCACCCCTTTTCTTCTTCCTTCCCTTGCCCTCTAGCGCCGAGTCCCTGTCCCAAGGACACCCAGGGCCAAATGGCCTTACATCTCCCCCACCCCATTCTCTCCCCTGGGGGCCAGGCTAGAGAACCCCCGGCAGAGCCGCACGGCCTCCGCTCTCTGGCTTAGAAAGGGGCCAAGACTGATTTCTGCTTTTGTAAAGTTCCCGCTGTAGGACGTGTTTAAGGGAGGAACTGGGGAGGGGAACAAGATGGGAAGAGGGAAAGTTTACCTCTTGGCAAAGCAGCACCAGAGGACCGATGCTTTGAAGACAAAAACAAAAACCATTGCTAATCACAGAATCCTAAAAAATATTTACAAACAAGAGAGAAAAAGAGAAAGGATACTTATTTCTCATCTCCATTCAACAGAAGCTGGACAACAGTAACAGAATCAAGGGGGAAAAAAGGTATTTGATACAATAAAAAGTTTGGGAATTGACATGGACGAAACTCCAGGTCATTGGGGGGAGGTACCAACTTTAAAGTTTTTTCAGTTTTCTTAACGGCAAAGATGGTGAAGAGGAAGGAAGATGAATACTTATTTAAAGAATTAAGATGAAAAAAGACACGCAGTTGGGAAGTTCACAGGTTTTGAAACTGACCTTTTTCTGCGAAGTTCACTTTAAATACATTTGATAAAAGAGGCGGGCCTCCTTTTACGTTGAATCAGATACTTTTGAGTTTAAAACCCACCACTTCTGGAAGAGCGAGAAGAAAGAAGGAAGAAGACAAACATGGGGAGAAATGATATTAAGACAGATAATAAGGACATGGACAATGACGATTTCTCTGCGAAATTCTCGTGGTAAAACTGTCCGGACTCCTGACAGCAGAATGCCGGTTTGCATGTTTCTTGTATTCCATAGATGGTGTCCCCTTCCCACCCTCCCTCTACTTCACCCCCCTCGGTTCACTTGCACTTCATCTTCATCTTTAGTAGGAAAAACAAAAATCAAATGCGGCTGGAAATTGCTTTTTCTTCTCCCTTTTTAATCCTGGAGAACAAAAGCAAATGATTTGAAGGGTGAAAATAATAGCCCCACCCTCCGTATTGGTCCACTGTTTGTCCCGAGAGGAAGTAGGAGGGCAGAACAATGTGGGGGAAGAAAAGCGAGAGCAAAAGAAAAAGTGAATGTGAATTTTTTACTCTCTCTTTTTGACTTCCCTGAGGTACTAAGCGATAATTGTTTCTTTTTCCCTTCCAATATTCCCTTCCCCTTCCAAATTTACCTTAAACAAAGCCCAACTAGGTCCAGGTACTAGGTACGTGTAAGATATGTTGATACACACGAACAAAGTTTATTTTGGCTATAGCGTGTGACTTGATAGTTGACTATCAACATTTACATTTTATCTCACAAAGGTGTATCTATTCAAGTAATCTTGCCTGTTTTTGTTTTGTTTTGTTTTGTTTTAGTTTCAATCCATAGAGATATTTAAGCTGGAGATACCCCATCTAGGTAATTCGTATCTCAGTTCCCCCATCCAGCCTCTTTGGGTTTTTTTTTATTTTTATTTTTTAAATTACAAGAAAGAAGAAAAGCTCTTCTGAGTGAACTCTTTGTAACTATTTGTTCTCCATGAAAACAAAATTATTTATATTTACCATATTTTTTCTAGTGTTAACTTATTTCAAGCGAGAAGATGCTGTTATTTCAGGACATGTGTTGTCAGTATGTTTCCTTTCACCTTTTGTTAAGCCTTTTTAATAAGTGCCAAGTTATCCATTGAAGACACTTTGCGATCAATTGAATGAAATCAGTAAAGTTTGCGTTGACGGGTTCTCATCATTTTTGCTCTTGTTTCTATTATAAATCACCTGTGATATCCTTTCTTTCTGATGAACGTGTATATATCTGGCTCCTGTGTGGAGCAAGGCCAGAAGCTACATTCTCCCTTTCCTTCTATGGAGTTGAACAACCTGTGTTTGATGAGAGTAAAAGGGTAGCACTGTACCTTTCATTAACAATTAAGTCAGGGATTCCCCCCCCCCTTTTAATCGAGGAAGCATTAGAAATCAGGTTCTCCAGTTTTATAACGTTGTCCACTTAAGGGAGGTAGCCAGATTAGTGAAGCTATCAAAGCTAAAATATCTCTGCTCTAAAGGGATTCCACTTAATGGGCATAAGAAAAGATGCTTCAATTATGTCCCAGATTTCCCCCCCAGGAAACTTCTTTGGGAAAAAATTCCTTCAGGGTAAACCTGGTCACTGAATTAGGGATGAATTCTAAGACCTGCACCCCCTTTTATATTCCTACATATATTCTTTCCCAAGACCCCAGACACTCCCAACCCCTCATTCCAAGTACAGCATTAGAACAGCTGGTTCTGTCTATTGCCCCCCTCCCCAACTCTCTATCTCTTTTCTATCTCTGAGTTTCTTTCTGTCTCTGTCTCTCTTTTTCTGTAAGAGGGATGAGTTGGATAGGGTGGGCACTCCAAGAGGCCAAAGCTACTGAATAAGCAGGGGCAAAGTAGAGGTGATTGGATTTGTGAAAGATGCTGTAGTCTCTGTTGCAGCTAGACTGTTTGAGGAGATAGTTAAAGGTTTAACTAGAAGGAAGAAATGCCTGGCCTATCCACTACCCCTTTAATCTAACTCAGGGATTTCTGACCTGTACTCTGCAAGCTCTGTGGATAAATTTCAGGGAGTCTGTGAACTTGGATGGGGGGAAATTATATTTTTATTTCAACATAATTTTGTTACTTTGTAATCCTAAGCATTTTGTGCATTTGGAAATGTTATTCTGAGAAGTAATCCATACATTTCAACAAACTGCCAAAGGGGTCCATGATATAAAAAAAGGTTAAGAACTCTCGATCTATATGAAAATGATGCATTGTGTTGGTTTGGAGAGCATTTGACTTTTCTCCTAACAAAGCTAAGTGACATCAAAAGTCTCAGACATTTTGGGGATAAACTCCCTGTGTTTCTCATTGACTCTGGAACACTATTTTACCCCTAGGGCTGAGAAGAGGGTTCAGTAAGCAGGTTTCTTGGGAGTGTTCATTCTTCTTCCCACGGGAACATCCCTCTATAAAACTCGAAGAGAGGGACTGTATGTGCTCTGGCTCTGTAAATTTGCCTGTGTGTGATTGGTTCACAACTTGTGTCACATGTCTACAGATTCGGTGGAGGATTTTCCTGTCCTCTTCTTCCCCAGCTCCAAAGCAGTAGTCAAAGGCAGACTTCAGGCGTTGGAGAGAACCTGTGTATTTAAGAGAAAAAAAAAGTTCATTCAAGAGGTAAAAACTGTGGTCTTGGGCATAAAAAAAAAAAACTAAAAAGAGGAGGAAAAAATCTTCCTAGAAACCACTAAAATAGTTTAGGATGGAGAGGAGGTGAAGAGAAGGCAGGAAAACGTGATTGCTCGAAGTGGCATACCGTAATGCTCTTACAGCATTCTCTTATTACTTCCTGAAATCTAGCTGAACCTAGTTTTCTGTGGCTAAGCACTGCTGTTGGTTCCCCTCTCCTCCGCCCCTCAGCCTGAGTACCAGAATTCATCAAACAGGACTGAAGCCACTTAAAGCTTAAAGTCCTCCCTCTCTCCTCATCACATACACCTGTGTGCTAGGTTTGCCTCCATGATCCATCTTTGCTTGTCCTTCAGTTCCAAAATAACCACATTTGACTGGCAGGGTGCAGGAAGGGTTTAGGAGCCGTTCAACTGCAAGTTAATTAATGCTGGACACAAAGAAATGTTACCCATTAGGACCTCTCTACAGATAGTCTTTAGCTCCCACCATTACTAACCAGGAAGGGATTGAACACAGTGATTTTAAAAACCAAAATCAAACCAAAACTACAATTTCCGAGTCAGATTCTAATTACTACCAGAGTGACTTTGGGCAAGTCACTTAACCCTTCTGGGCCTCAGTTTCCTCACCTGTAAAATGAGAGGGTTGGACTGGATGAACTTTGAGGGTCCCTCCAGCTCTAAATTTCTGATCCTATGATCAGGGCGAACCCCGTAATTTAGAGTCTCGTAAACGGAATCGCTGCTGGGGAAATGCTTTGAAGCGTCTTAAAATCTGGTTTGGGTTTTCAACTCTACCGAATTCAGTTCCCAACTTGGGGAAGTCTTCAGCAAGTTTAGTAAAAAGTACAAGTTTAGGAACTAGGGAAATGTAGCTATCCGACGATCCGTTCCACCGCCCTTCTCGCAGCCCCTGCACTCCCAATCTCTTCTAGCACCTGGGTGCAAAGTGAACTCAGCGGCACTAGGGGTTTGGTGGAGGCAGACAGGCCTAGAAGATTTGCAGGCAAAAGGGTGCCATTGATCTGGCTGACTTGAGGGGTGGAAATGGGGATGGTTAATTTTCACTCTGGAGTCTGGGCCCATGTTGGCTCCTTGAGTGTTCACTCAGTGAGGAGGCTTGGGGGTGGCGAGGGCAAAGTCAGGAGAGAGACAGGGGCAGCAATCAGCCTCCTCACACCCCATACCCCCCTAGCCCCCTCCCCGCACTTGGCCCCTGGAAAGCAGCAAGGCACCGGCGAGAAAACAGAAGATGTGACCCAAGTCCGTTGGGCTCAGATTGGGAGATCTGCCGGCAAAGAAAGCCCAGCAAGATCTCCCAGGCTTACTTTCTTTGCCCTTTCCTTCCAAGATACAAAAGCGTTAGGGACCAGACACCGTCTAACTTCTGCGTTTCCCCTGAGCGGGGTTGCCCCCTCCTCTCGCAAGGGTAGGTTATCTGCCTCCTCCTGGGGTAGGGAAAAGTCAAAGCTAGGAAAGGACCCTCGGGGAACTGGACTTTTGCAGCTCCTGGGGTTCTCAGTGCCCAAGACTTGAATCGTTGCTAACTGTTTGGTAGCGGCTGATGAAGAAAAGTGACCAGGCTCTCGGTGGCGTTAAACATTTGCTGCGCCCGGTCTCCCTCCTCACCCCAACCTGAGCCCTTGAGGTACATTACCGACCCCTCCCCCACCCTCTGCTCCCAGTTCTCCTTTACTGAGTCCCGACTTCCAGACCTGACCAGAGTTTCGGGTTAAGACTTAGCTGCCGATGGAGCTCTCGGGAGAGCAGGCACAGGCTACCTGACGGTGTTAGGGAGGGTCCCAACCCCCAGAGGCCACAAAGGATCCCTGAAAAGGAGCCCAGAACAATTTCGCTTTAAATTCAAATCAGACAGGAAGCACGAAGATATTTTCTTTGTCAAAACTCAGGAATAATATTAAATTGATAAAGGAACTCTCCTGAAACCTTTACTTCAAAAAAATGAAATCCAAACCACGAAGAGGTTTTACAAAGATTTCCAGTGCCCCAGAATTCAGGATTGGAGGGACACTGAGTTAAATGGGATTATTCTAGACATCATTAATGTTAACAGCCTTGATGCTATAGGCCCAGGAAGATCGCAAACCCATTGCTGGAAGCTGAAATGATAAGCATCTAATTGGAGAGGTTTTTTTTTTTTTCTCCCCTTCCTTATTTTCCCCTGCTTATAATTTCAGCTCCTCAGATGGCAATGCTTATCTTGGAATAATGCAATTCTTGAATTTCAGGGCTATCTTGATTTTTGAAAAAATGCCTTTTTGGCTTCGAGAAGCATGGGGTCCTGTTGTCTCACAAATCAGTTTACATCACAAATTGCAAACATTTGCAGGAAGATATGAGGGTTGTTTAGTTTATGTAACCTTCAGCGCTTGCACGCTAAATGGCAGCTCAGAAAGTTTGGAAGATCGGGTTAATGTGTTTGAGAAAATGTAAGTGTCTGCAGGCCTTGGCCGTGCATAAACAAACAGGTCT